TTTAAGACACTCCGACGGCAGGTAAGGGGTTGTCCTTTGGTGGGAATGTTCGAAATGGTTCTAGTTATCGTCCCAATCAAGTTTCAGAGCGTTACAGTTTCTCGAAATGTGTTTTTCCAATTTTTTTCTATTATTTTCGTACTAAGGGTAGTTTTTAAGACACTCCGACGGCAGGTAAGGGGTTGTCCTTTGGTGGGAATGTTCGAAATGGTTCTAGTTATCGTCCCAATCAAGTTTCAGAGCGTTACAGTTTCTCGAAATGTGTTTTTCCAATTTTTTTCTATTATTTTCGTACTAAGGGTAGTTTTTAAGACACTCCGACGGCAGGTAAGGGGTTGTCCTTTGGTGGGAATGTTCGAAATGGTTCTAGTTATCGTCCCAATCAAGTTTCAGAGCGTTACAGTTTCTCGAAATGTGTTTTTTCCAATTTTTTTCTATTATTTTCGTACTAAGGGTAGTTTTTAAGACACTCCGACGGCAGGTAAGGGGTTGTCCTTTGGTGGGAATGTTCGAAATGGTTCTAGTTATCGTCCCAATCAAGTTTCAGAGCGTTACAGTTTCTCGAAATGTGTTTTTCCAATTTTTTTCTATTATTTTCGTACTAAGGGTAGTTTTTAAGACACTCCGACGGCAGGTAAGGGGTTGTCCTTTGGTGGGAATGTTCGAAATGGTTCTAGTTATCGTCCCAATCAAGTTTCAGAGCGTTACAGTTTCTCGAAATGTGTTTTTCCAATTTTTTTCTATTATTTTCGTACTAAGGGTAGTTTTTAAGACACTCTGACGGCAGGTAAGGGGTTGTCCTTTGGTGGGAATGTTCGAAATGGTTCTAGTTATCGTCCCAATCAAGTTTCAGAGCGTTACAGTTTCTCGAAATGTGTTTTTCCAATTTTTTTCTATTATTTTCGTACTAAGGGTAGTTTTTAAGACACTCCGACGGCAGGTAAGGGGTTGTCCTTTGGTGGGAATGTTCGAAATGGTTCTAGTTATCGTCCCAATCAAGTTTCAGAGCGTTACAGTTTCTCGAAATGTGTTTTTCCAATTTTTTTCTATTATTTTCGTACTAAGGGTAGTTTTTAAGACACTCCGACGGCAGGTAAGGGGTTGTCCTTTGGTGGGAATGTTCGAAATGGTTCTAGTTATCGTCCCAATCAAGTTTCAGAGCGTTACAGTTTCTCGCAATGTGTTTTTCCAATTTTTTTCTATTATTTTCGTACTAAGGGTAGTTTTTAAGACACTCTGACGGCAGGTAAGGGGTTGTCCTTTGGTGGGAATGTTCGAAATGGTTCTAGTTATCGTCCCAATCAAGTTTCAGAGCGTTACAGTTTCTCGAAATGTGTTTTTCCAATTTTTTTCTATTATTTTCGTACTAAGGGTAGTTTTTAACACACTCTCAGGGCAGGTAAGGGGTTGTCCTTTGGTGGGAATGTTCGAAATGGTTCTAGTTATCGTCCCAATCAAGTTTCAGAGCGTTACAGTTTCTCGAAATGTGTTTTTCCAATTTTTTTCTATTATTTTCGTACTAAGGGTAGTTTTTAACACACTCTGACGGCAGGTAAGGGGTTGTCCTTTGGTGGGAATGTTCGAAATGGTTCTAGTTATCGTCCCAATCAAGTTTCAGAGCGTTACAGTTTCTCGCAATGTGTTTTTCCAATTTTTTTCTATTATTTTCGTACTAAGGGTAGTTTTTAACACACTCTGACGGCAGGTAAGGGGTTGTCCTTTGGTGGGAATGTTCGAAATGGTTCTAGTTATCGTCCCAATCAAGTTTCAGAGCGTTACAGTTTTCCGAAAAAAATTTTTTATATTATTTTCACACTAAGGGTAGTTTTTGACACACTCCGACGGCAGGTAAGGGGTTATCCTTTGGTGGGAATGTTAGAAATGGTTCTGATGATCGTCCCACTGAGTTTGATGGTGTTACATTTTTCCGAAATGTGCTTTTCCAATGATTTTAATAATAAGGGTTGATCCCAGCCTGACGGCAATAAGGGGTTGTTCTTCGAACTAGACGTACTTGAGGGCTATGTTAAAGACTATTCTAAATTTCATGGTGTCACATTTTATTTTAAAAAAGTTGTTTTGTAGATATTAATGTTCTACTTGATGTTTTATTAGGGGTAGTTTTTTGTTTTGTTTTTCTGTTGTACTTTGCCCGAGGGTATATAATAATAATGTACACAAAGTTTGTAAATCAACCATTTAAAAAAAAAGAGCTGCCAAAAAATGGCTGCTAACTTCACAATTTTGGCTGCTACAAATGGCTGCTAACTTCACATTTTTGGCTGCTGCAAAAAGGCTGCTAACTTCACACCGGTTTTCAAAAAGCGGTTGTACTGAGCACTGCTCATATTATACAATAGTACGAAAAGTACTATAGGAAACCAGCAGCAAGCACAAGACGATCACCGAAGAAATAATACCCTTAGGCACACGGTGTGTACCCGGTTATTCCCTCAGAAAGACAAACCATAGTCCCAAAGAAAAAGCTATGAGATAATAATATTTATCCGCGATCATCAAATAATGACAGTTTTATCCACTCATATGAAGCGTCTAAAGTGATACTTTATATAAAATAACTTTATTCCACTAGTGGAATAATGAAATTAAGAAATACGAAATTTTTATTTTATTTATTGATATTAACATTAACATTTATATTAATAGATACTTCGTTGTTTGAATTGTCTCCCTTAATTTCGTTATTGTTGGTAAAAAAGGCGATAATTTCTATCAGCTTGGAAACGCACGTTTATGGGTGTTTTGGCAGAATTACCAGGAACAGGAATAATGGGTGTCTCCTCTTGTAAAGGACACTTATTTTCCTCTTGGATTTTGTTTGCAATACTAAGCTTATTATTGGAAATGGAATCCTCCATATAACTTTTAGCAACAGACAAGCTTTTCTCTTCCATCCGCCATGTGTTTGTACGTGTGATTGTGGATAAAACGTTGTATTACATTCGTGTTTTAGTTGCATTTTATCCACTTAAGAAAATCAAACGCTCGAACTTCGTTCTCGCGTTTAAACATTCTTGCGTGGATAAAATGCTTCCTAAAACACTTATACAATAAATTAGGTCATATTTTGCAAGCCTGACCTAGTATTTCATGTGAGGTTTTTCCGAGGGTTTTTCTGGTTTTGACAAGAACTGACTTATGTTGGTTTGTTCTAGTCTCAGCGGAAACAATCCAATATTGGAACTAGAGATGTGAGTGTGAAAAGTTTCACCTGAAAAGTTTCAATAAAATTTCATTTCATTGAAAAGTTTCAAGACAGTTCAAAACTTTTCAAAATTTCGTGAAATGTTTAAAGATCATGAATCATGCATTGTGACTTTGTCCCAGGTTTGTTAAAACGAAAACGCATGTCATGGTCGTGGGCAAAAAAATTATTAACGAGTGACGAAAACAGCATTTTTTGCAACGAGAAAACAGTTGTTTTCAAGTTGCAAAAAATGATTTTTGACAAGTAAAACACTATACTTTTTCTAAGACCATGTTTTGATTTTTGCTGTTAAACTTATGTTTTTTTTACAAGGGTTTCTACTTGGTTTGATAGCTGGCGCCATCTTTGAAAAGTGCTCGTTTTTAATTAATTTTATACTTATATTTTGCTTTTATTACATTATATAAAGCAAAATTGTAATATACTATAAATGAAACACAGTCATTTGAGTGATGGTCTATTTATTACTGAAAATATTCAATTCTCCGTACCCAAAGGAATGGTACTCTAGTCACAAAAAACCCATTGTTAATCTAACCGTACACTGGCACATATATCACAAAAATTTACATAATTTTGTTATGAACTATGTTTTTTCATTGTGCTCCACAGAATTGAAATATAATTGGATTTGAAAAATGTATTTAACATGTAAAATTTTAATCATTCACTTGCGTCACTAGTGAGGAAAGTTAACGTTATGGGATATTCCATCACTAGTGACGAAAATGACGTTTTCGGCTAAGGTAAAATATGACAAAAGTTGTTTATTTTTTGATGGTCATAGAAAAACAGATTTTTTCACTATTACGCAATTTTTTTTATTTCCTCAATCCTCAACCGCAATATTGTGATTTAATGGAAAGGAATAATTGATAAAAATTATATTATTCATCAATTCAATTTATTGAATATCTATCATTTTGAAAAAATAATTTTAGAGGCCTTATTCTTCCTGTACTTAACTTTTCAAAAAAAAATTGAAACGTTTCAACTTTTCATGAAAAGTTTCACGAAAAGTTTCAAATTTGAAAATTTCATGAAAACTTACATCTCTAATTGGAACAGACCCAAATTATTAAAATCTGTATCAAATCACGCAGACAGAAATACACAAGAAATATAAATAAAACCATTAAAGAAGCCCTATATTTCATTGTCATATCATAAAATATTATACCACGATTTCACTAAAAAAATGTCGGTGCCCTTAATGGAAAACAGCGGATCGCGTGTTCGAAGCCCGTAATATCATAGAAAAATTTATTCTTTTGAAAACAAATAAATCAATATCAATATTTTTTAAACAAACTTCAATCCCAAGGTCTTAAAGTACCCAACGAACTGTGAATTATGTGCCATACACAAAAGCACATACGTCCTCTCTACTAGACCTAGACCGTGCATGTCAAGCGGACAGTTATTTTTAAAAGCTTACGCAAATAGTGTGTAGTATTTATTTAGTAATTTAATATAGTCACTTATATCTTTTAGAAATTTAATTAAAAGCATCTAATTTAGAATTGTACGGGTATACTTAAATACGAGTGTACTATTAGTGGATATTATTATAACATAGAGTGAGAGAGGTAATGAAGTTAGTTTCTTCTAAGTATTCAGAGGACTATAGTTATAAAAACCAGTGCATGTCACTATAGTACCTACTACCTACTTCACACAAGTTCAATTTATGTGTAATGACAATGTTGGATGTTTTTGGATTATGTAAATTGCAATTTTTGTTGTAGCCGTCAAAATAAAAATCACTCACCTCATGATCCTTATAGAATGGCTCTCGGATATTTTCAGGAACTTTATTGTTGAATGCTTTCGATAGGAGCCACTTTATAGATGCCCTCTGTTTAGCCTGAAATAAAAAGTGGAAAAATTATTTAAAAAAAATACATTTTTCATAAGAATATAATAGCTCTGTTCCAACAGACATAGTGAGGTTGTCTTCTTCTCGCGAATACTAAATTAATTTTTTGCATAATAAAATACATAGTAAAGCCACTAACGATGAACCTAACAAAAATTTGAATAATTTCTTTAGCGAAAGCGTATAAGTAATTCAAAGTTTTTACTTTCTGCATCCTTAAACCAACGGGTGCGACAAGCCATCGTAAATCTAAACAGTGAAACAAGAAACAAGAAAATTAAGATGAGAAATTTCCGAGCCTCTGATGCGAACTAGATGTTATAAATTGTGTATCTGCTAAAAGCAGGAAACGTGAGGAAGACAAACAGTGATGGTTGGCTATAAAGGAAAATTTATGTTCGTTAATAGGTATACATTTTTTATGAGTTAAAACATATATTTTCATTAAAAACATGAGGGTTTTTCATGCTTCAACAGGCTGTAAATTTCTGGGTAGAATCTTGTGTTATAGTTTTCCCATTACATCACCGAAATATTTTGTTTCATAGGTATGCTTAAAAACTCAATAAATCCGCCCAAGACGCCGTTTTCACAATACATATAAACGTCTTCGAAGCGCCCACTAATTGCTTCCTTTATTTCGGCACATAAAGAAAATACGCATGGTAATGTTGTAATTTTAATGGCCTTTCCTTCGACGAGAGTTTTCCTATAAATATTTCAATGCACAGTAACTTTCTCGGCCTCGGGGAAGCGAGGCATTAAAACTAATGTAATATTCCTTTAGATTGGATGTACTTGAGGCCTGCAGGTGTATTTAACGATCAGGTTTTAAGTAGAAATCATGGTGTATAGGCAAGACCGATCCTTTAAATGTGCTTAGATAGTGAAAGAGAAGCCCAGCTTTGAATTTAATACTGGAGAATTCAGTATAAAGTTAAGTAAAGTCAATTAGTTCAATAAGAATTGTTTTTAGTAAAAAGAATTTGTGGAAGCTTCAGAAACCCTCATAGGTGAATACTGAAAACTAGTGAGATTCTTATTAGAGCTGCAGAAGGCAGACAAATCCAACATTGAGTGATACCAATTTCCGTTCTGTACTTTTTATGGAAGAGACAAACCGATTGCAGCAAAAATTTAAAAAATAAAGACCCAAAATCAGTTGAACATTGATGCAAATTTTTCATAACTGCATATAGACAAACAAATAAAAATCCAAAACGAGTCCCACGTCGTTTTCCGAAAATAGAAATATCCTTCACGTTTTAAAGCTTCCTGCTTCCTTATGCTTGCAATGTTTATGCTCTCATGAGCCAAATAAAAATCGTCTCGCGACCTCATTGTTATTCTATTTTTAAATATTCCAAGAAACACACAAAATAGGGTGTGAATGTTAGGACTTCATTTGGTTACGTGATGTGGATGGACTTAGGGCTAAAATCAAATTTTCAATTATTAATATAGAGTAAAACAATAAAAAGTTAACGACTGATGATTAAACTGGATTTTACACTATAGACATAATCCTATATTCGTAATTTAACGACAACTCGATGGCGCCAATTTCCAGAGTGCCACCCTTATAAAACTATAAAATTTAAATTTGACCCAGACATTCCGTGAATAATGTCTATGCTAGATTTTCATGTTGGGTGCAAATCGGCAGAATTGATCCTATTTATACATAATAGAGAATCACGTTGTCCCTGTAATATGAAACAAAAAGGATTATTTTAGATTCTAGGATCAAATTATCTTTTGTGTCCAGTATATAGGGGCACTAACCCGTAAATCAATTCAGGAAATTCATCAAGTAGCTATAATAATTTATATTTGCTAGAGGCTGTATTCAATTTTCTGGAAAGTTTTCTAAACCATAAATTTGACTTAACAAGGATATCATGATATATTGCAAGTTCAAACAAAATCAATATATTCATTGAATTATAAAAGCGAAGCGAGAAGTGGCTCATCTTCCTGGTAAAGCATTTAGTATACATAAGGAAATTCTACAAAGAATCCAGATTACAACGTTACACTAATAAAAGTTTATCAATAAGGGAAAAATTACTTTACAGTAAACAGAATTGCTAGTCTTCGAAATGCCCAATCAAGTTAAACCACCATGCATAACAGAAATAAAATACCTTTGGCATGAACTGATCGAGAATTCACTGGTTGGCCTGAGTAAATAACCTTTCGGAATTGCAAGTATTCCATCTGAAATTACACAACAAATAATTACCGGGAAAGACAACAGATGGCATGGATTTCAATCATTGACTGGTGTCCGAATGAATCTTATTAAACATTCAAACAACGTGGGTAAACAAGTTACACGGTATATGTTTACCATTCACCAATCAAGTCGATACACACTTATTTACAATAATTGATATAATGTGGAAATAGAGAGTAGGTGTCTAGTTTTCGATAAATAAAATTAGTGTGGTGTGGTGCATTTAATCCAAATTTCTTGACCCAAATCCACGAAGTTGTAGTTCAGGGTCTTACCTAATTATATATTTACCTTACATCTTCATCAACAACTATTATTACATAACAAATTATCGTTTTAATAGTTGTTGCAGAAAAAATACACAATTTTTTTCACAAATAGGTGCGAAATAAATATTCATAAAACTCTTGTTTTGGTGTACGATGAATAAATTTAATGACTAGTTTAACTAAAATGGACGTGACACTCCTACATGCAAATATTGCCGTAATGGTAATGGGTCTGTATATTCAGCCAATTACAATAAGAATTTAAATTTGTGGAATGAGCTTAGAACTTTTCGATATATATTGGTAGGTAGTTGAGAAAGGAAAACCACATTCCGAATAGAAACTTCCTTTGAACACCATGAATGTTGGTCTGGTACTTGGTGATTCGGTAGAAACTGTTATTTTCGCTTTAGGTACTAATGTTGTTTCTACTTAAGCAATTTGAGGTGATTTATCAATTTTTCTGAGTGCCTTTTTTCATAATAATTTAGTGTATGGAGTTGAGGGGATGTTGATTGACTATTAGGATACAAAATCTCGACAAAAAAAAAATTGAGATTTCATCGTTTTAGTAAGAAGGTACCTACCTTATGATTTAGATTTTGGAAAACTTTGGAAGGTCATAACTTTTTTTCTATTATAGATAGAAAGCTGAAACTTTCACTGAATTTTATCCCATCAAGGGACTACAATCCCTGAAAATTTCAGCTCATTTGCACTTATAGTTCCTGAGATAAAATCGTGTTAAGCAATTTGGGGTGATTTATCAATTTTTTCAATTTTTCTGAGTGCCTTTTTTCATAGATTTCGGCTTCATATCTGAGAATAATTTAGTGCATGGAGTTTGGGGTATGTTTATTGATCATTAGGATACAAAATTTCGACAAAAAAAAAATTGAAATTTCATCGTTTTAGTAAGAAGGTCTTAGGATTTAGATTTTCGAAAACTTTGAGAGGTCATTACTTTTTTTCTATTATAGATAGAAAGTTGAAACTTTAACTGAATTTTATCCCAATGAAGGGACTACAATCCCTGGAAATTTCAGCTCATTTGCACTTATAGTTCCTGAGATAAAATTGTGTTAAGCAATTTGGGGTGATTTATCAATTTTTCAATTTTTCTTAGTGCCTTTTTTCATAGATTCCGGCTTCGAATCTGAGAATAATTTAGTGTATGGAGTTTGGGGCATGTTTATTGATCACAAGGATACAAAATCTCGACAAAAAAAACTAAAATTTCATCGTTTTAGTAAGAAGGTACCTACCTCAGAGCTGGGCAGGGCTTAAGTGCTTTGTGCTTGTGAAAGTGCTTGAAGCACTTTGAGGACTTGAAAGCCTTGTGCTTCAAGCCCTTTTATAGATTTGTAATTAGGGCTTACAAAGTCAATTACTTTAGAAAAGTGCTTGGTAATTTGTAATTGAAAAAAGTAATTCAAGCCCTTTCAATGAGCTTCAATTACTTTTAGAGGGCTTGAAGCACTTTTGGGAGCTTGAAGCCCTTTGAAAAGGCTTGAAGCACTTTTGGGAGCTTGAAGCACTTTGGAAGGGCTTGAAGCACTTTAAAAGGGCTTGAAGCACTTTAAAAGGGCTTGAAGCACTTTGAAAGTAATTTGATTTGACCATCATTCAACCCTCGATTCAACCTATACCCCACTTAAAAATTTTCGATCGATGTGTTGTGTCGCTTAATTTTTTTTTCCTATTATTTGAACTTAAACCGTCTTATGTCTTTTCTCTCTTAACAATTTTGGGTTTGAGCTTAGAATTGAATTGAAAAAAAAATAAATAAAATTAATGAACTTATTATTCAAGTAAATAATTAATTTATATTGGTACCCTATTTAATTTTATCACTTGATTTTTTTCGCTTTTCCTTATTGAACATTTTGAAAACCTTAAAATTGAATTACCATGTGTTACCCCAACTACCCCAGTACTACATCTAAAAAAAAAAACACATGCTACTGCTACTCTGTGAAATGTAAAGTTCATCTCTACTATGCCAATTCAACTGATGAGTGTACGCGGTAGCTTATGCTACTTTGAAAATTTTATTACAAATTCAAAGTGCTTTAGGCACATTTAAAGAGCTTCAAGCACATTTAAAGAGCTTCAAGCACATTTAAAGAGCTTCAAGCACATTTAAAGAGCTTCAAGCACATTTAAAGAACTTCAAGGACATTTAAAGGGCTTCAAAACACTTTTTAGGGCTCTCCAAGCACTTTTGATGTGCTTCAAGCACTTTTTAAATCATTTGAGGGCTTAGTGCCTCAAGCCCTTTTACTGAGGGCTGTGCCCAGCTCTGACCTACCTTACGATTTAGATTTTGGAAAACTTTGAAAGGTCATAACTTTTTTTCTATTATAGATAGAAAGCTGAAACTTTCACTGAATTTTATCCCAATCAAGGTACTACAATCCCTGAAAATTTCAGCTCATTTGCACTTATGGCGTCTGAGATAAAATCGTGTTAAGCAATTT